TCGGAAGAGGATCTTTCTCCTCAAAGCAAATCAATCAGACCTGCAAAACGTACAAAAACACTATCCTGTTACGATATCTTAAATTCGCTGAGTTCTAGTATGCATGTTGCTACTGGCGTTAAAAGAAAAGCAGGTGAGTATTACATTTTTTATCTATGATCATGTATCAATAATTTTTACATTTGACATATATAAATTTTTATCAATATTCTTTCACAGCTGATTTCTCACGTAGTGGGACACCCGACCTCGAAAAGCACTTCAAGTCATTGGAAAGTACACATTCCGGTAATTCTCCTACTGTGCTGCAATCACAAAATTTAGATACAAGTCATACAGATAAACCCGAGTTTAAAGAAATCTATTCGAAAAATCTTGAGACACTCAATTCTAAGAAAACAGAAGAATTTCCTCTGATGAAGGGAATATTGAAGTCAACTAACAAAGAATCAAGGACCAACTTAAACCAACCAGCATCAGTAATAATCCACAAAACTACGAAAAAAGACGCCACCGAAATTAATAATACCAAATCCGTTGATCCATCAAAATTTGTCAAATTGACAGAAAAATTATTTATGAGAGCTGAACCCGAACGGAATGAACGGTTGAAGTCGCTCGTGGAAGAACCAAGTAATGTAAAGGTCAAGTTTGCAATTGATAATGTGGAAGAGATAAAGAGGGAGGATATACGAAATATGAGGCGAACTAATATGAAGGCCAGACTCCAAAGTATGTTCAATGCAATATCAGGAAAAGGTAAGTAACATAATATTATACATCAAAGTATGTTATGTAGATCATAAATAATTTTTTTTAAAACATGCTTTGACTCAAAGATTTATCAGAAAAAAATTTTTATTATACCCTCTTCTGCTTTTTTTCGTTATCTCATATAATAACTTTTTTATTTGTTCTTTCAGCAGAGAACAAAATCAATCCGGACGTCGTGATACAAGCGGACGATATTAACGCAACAGTTACGCCACCAGTTACGTGTTCAGCCATTTGCGCGACCCTTAATTCTCTGACAACCACGACCAACATTAATACTATGCCGCTCTCCACCGCGGCTATTCTTCCAAGTGGTTCCTCTTCGTCGAGTCCCGATGCGAAACTCGGTTCGAAACCAGCTATAACTTTTAGCTCAACGAATACCACACCGAATACTAAAATGCAGTCAAACATGCCGTCAATAAATACTCCTGAAAGAAAAGAAACAACTGATCAAGCGAAAGTCGTATCAGTTGCGCCCGTGATTGCGAATACAGAGTCCTTACAAAAAACCGTATCTTCGACTCCAAGTACAGCACCAACTTACACTTTTGGCAAACCGAAAGCATCAGCTACAACGTCGAATAGTTCATTACCGAAAAGTAGCACTACCTTTACATTAACTGCTACTACCACACCAACGTCTTTATCAACATATATTAATTTCCTACCAGTAGATAAAACACCATCGAGCTGGGCATTCGCACCTGTAAATTCTAGCGCTACGACAATTCAGACGAATAACATTATTACTACAAGTGCAACCGTTATTTCATCTACTGCAGTCAATACTACACAGGCTAATTCTACCTTCACTTTCCGTGATGCCAAGACATTTTCGTCTCCTGTTACGATCGCTCAAACTACAACGCCAAGTTTATCGTCTCAATCCACTGGGATGATGATATTGCCGGTTAAGACAACTTCAGGATCAATTATCAGTGCCGGTTTTAACAGTACTGCGAGCAGTACATCAAATAGCCTCACAACAGCAACATCCTCGTCTCCACCTTCGTTCATTTTCGGAAGCAACGGTACCGTTTCGCAACTTCCAAAGTCGAATAGCTTCATGTTCGGCCAATCTGATAGTAACATCCAATCGAAAGTGAACACTTTCCGAAGTCCCTCGAACAGCCAGACGACATCATTGCCGCCAGTTACGACTAAATCTTTTAATTTCTTCACATCCAATATTTTGGCGACGACTGCCGCAAGTAACTTATTTACGAATGTCGCATCGTTAGCGACATCGACATCAACATCCAGATTATCGAGCGTACCTGTGCTCAGTACATCCACCACTTCTTCAACGGCTACTTCATCTACCAGCAAACCTCTATTTGCTTTTGGCACTTCCAATACTTCAAACGCGACATCAACAGCTGCAATTCTACCAGTTACAACTGCCAACAATATAACCAATTTCGGTGCGATGAAGAATAATGCCGTTCTCACATTTGGTACGTCTACCACGACCATTACCCCGCAATTTAGCACGTCTGCAATCACCGTTCCACAATTCGGTGTATCCACCACGTCCATTTTCGCCACTACATCGAATACAACGACGAGCACAAATATCTTTGGTACGACCAGCAATAGTCAATCATTTTTCGGAACCGCACCAGTTGTACCGGGAACTACTAGTATATTTAACAGCCCGACAACTACGGTGCCTTCGATCTTCGTTACGACGACCAACGCTGCATCTTCGCCAAGTAGCACCATCAGTTCCAGTTTATTCGCCAATGCTAACGCCAATTTGACTTCGACGACCGCTGCGCCTTCGATGTTCGGCAGTGGCACGCCAATTTTTGGACAGACGAAGCTTTCGCCGTCCTTCGGAGCAGCAAGTGGCATGTTTGGCACCGCAACCTCACCGTTATTCAATTCGACCACGCAAGCCGGCACGACCGCGTCCACATTCAACATCACCGGTAACGTCTCCACCGGTACGATCACCCCTGGCTTTGATAGCACGAGCAACACGACGCCCGCGTTTGGAGCACCAAGCGTAGGAACATCGCAGACAACATCGTCGGCTTTCGGCGGTACGACCAATATGTTTGGTTCGACCGATAAGAACACATCGGTTCCCATATTCGGAACGAACGCTACGCCGGCTAGTGGAACTTTTGGACCTTTGGCGACGACGAGCACCTTCGGTACGCAAAATCCTACAAATCTCACGTTTGGAGCTGCAGCAAGTGGCGGCACTATGTTCGGTGATAATAAATCTCCATTCGGCGCAACGCCTGCGACTACTACGGGCTTTGCGGGTACATCTACATCGTCTTCGATTCCCGCCTTCGGAGCTAGCAATGCTAATGCGAGCAATAACACAAATAATATGTTCGTCTTTGGGAACAATCAGAAGGACGGACAACAGAATACTACGTTTCCTTTCGGATCCAATTTTCAAGCTGGAAGCAATAATTCTACAGCTCCATCGTCCACTCCATTCCAATTTGGACCTACAGCTCCCAAACCAGGTAAATACTTTTGAATAAATTATTTTATTATTAATATTTATATTATTATTAATTATAACTATAATCATATAAAGAACATTAAGTTATATGTGATAAATTAAATTTCAGATACAAGACAAAAATTGTATAAACTGTAAAATATTACTATTACTCTTGATTATATCCTTTCTTTAAATATTCTGGCTCAATTATATTAATCGTAAATGCAATCACTTTTTTCAGCACCAACAGGATTTAACTTTACCACACCACAGCCAGCGACTACTACCCTAAATTTCGGAACATCAGCAGCACCGACCTTCAACCCCTCAACGCCTGGCATGTTCAGCATCGGGAGTGGATCTACCGCGCCGCGATCTAGGACAATTCGTACGCGAAAACCGAGATGATGGAGGATGTAAACGTCGCTCGTTCGTTTGAGTGCATATTTTCGTTGAAATATATATTTGGAATGTTTGTTCAATTATATTATTTTATATATAATTTCATGCGAATATAAAAAGTATAATTAATACGCAAATTGCATTCGACATTTAATAAATTTGATAAATAAATCATATATGACACAAATTATATATTGTGAAGATAATAAGTAATAAGTGGTTTGTTGCCGCATTTTTTAAAGTTTGTTCGGTGACGGGGCTAAGTGTCTTTTACCCTGTACATATATAAGTACACAATATATATATATATATTTAATAAATTTAATAAATAATTAATAAAATGTTTTTAATAAATTTCTTTTTATATAATAATATCTTGCATATACAAGATCATAAAAGATTCATATCCTTACGATTTCAAATTTTTTTTATATATTCTTAAGATTCGATACAAAAGATATCAAATATGTATATATATATATGTATGCTTATTATATAAATAAAAAAAATTTTTCCTTTTTATTAAATTTTAGTTTCTCTGTTGCATATACTCATTTTTCCATATTAATAAAATAGTTGATTTTGATGAGAATATCCATTAAATAATTATATAGATGAAACAACCCATATGTATAGTAACATCTAATGTTTAGCTCATTCTAATTATTAGAAAGAAATGTCATAAATTTTGCAAAAATATGCCTCAAATTCATGCAACAGCTCGGCCTCGCAAAATTTTGATGTTGTGCGATATAATGCAACACATGATACAGAAATCCAAGTTTATTCATCTGTACATTTGTAATTAATGAATAATGGAATAGTTGTGTAGACAATTTTTAAATCGTCTTAATAGTTTGAACAGTCTGATAGAATCTACCATTATGTTTTTCTTTTTTTATGTTTATATCAATTTATATCTGAAGTTTCATTGATAGATACATTTTTTCCTCAATATACGTAACTCATAACTCATATATACGATATTCTTATTATTTTCACGTACATTAACATATCTATGTGTTTATCTTGTTGTTCCTAGGTATATAATACTTTTTATTCTATAGAAAGTTTTGTATTATTACAAGCATATCGTGTATCTCTAAAAAAATATAACTTATAATTTATATAATAGAAATTTGACATTTGCTATAAGCAACATACATCTTGCCTTCCTAAATTTTTGTTGCGTTATTTGAAGAAATGAATGAAATTTGTGTGTAAGAGCAAATGTTCTTCCATTTGTGTGAGAAAAATCTAGTATATGATAATATTTAAATTAAAGTTCAACGAATAAGAAAAGTGTGTATGTGTGTATGTGGTGGAAACTTTTTATATAAAAAATTAGAATAAAATATATAAATTGTATTTCTTATTTATGACAGATTGATCACACCGGTTCAATAATAACTATTAATGATAATGTAATATTTCTATATATTTTTAATTTGTTCCAATGAGATTTTCTACATGTGGATTTCTTATTTGATTGTACTATCATTGTTTTTTATCTACTCAACATGTACATACAATTAACGTCATGTGTCCTTACACATTAGTTAACATAAGATAAGACAAATACATTACAATTATATATGTAACAAAAGCTTATAATTATATAGAATTGTAAATATATGTATCTTTCCTTCATTGCTTTTTTTAAATTAAATTCAAATTGTTTAAATAATTCTAAATTTTAAAAGACTCATGTTACTAATTAAAAATCGATATTATTCACTAAAGAAAGAGAGAGCTTGAACATAATTCAATCAACACACATTTCAAATAATTAAAATCATTATAGATTTCGTTCATTAATACAAGTTTGAAATGTTTCAGCACAAATACCGTTATATTATTGATAATTATAATAATATTTATATATAATGTGTATATATATGAAAAATCTCATACTCTTATATCAGATATAATGTATTGTATACATTAGAAAGAGCACATGTTTTTATTTAAGTTAACATTATTAAAGTTTTTTTTTTATTTTTGTCATGCTAATTGTTATATGTATGTTTATTTCTAATTTTTTTTTTTCTTTGTGAGCATGTTGATATATTAAAAAATTCTTGTTTTGTGCTGTATACAATGTTTTCAATTTAAATATTTCGTTTCTATACATTTTCTATTTTCTATATACTTGAAAAAAAGAAAGAACAATTTATAAAGCTAACAATAAATCGGAATTTCTCTTTCTTTCCATTCTTTTCAAATGAATACTTTTCTTCCCTGACACGGTACTACATTTTTTCTTCTATTGTTTACAAGAATTTAGAAATCATAAAATCTCCGTTTCTCCCATTTATCTTAAGATAAAGAATCACCCAAAGGTCATTTGAGCGAAAATATTTGAAAATTCGTTAAACTGAAAATTACGCATGTGTGAGTGTACGCGTGAAGGATCCGGTGACGGTCGCAGCGACGCGCATGCGCCTCGCGTCTCGGCGGTCTTCGGCGCCGCTCGAGGATCCTCGCGAAAGCTCGACGCGCGCGATTGGCCGACGCGCCGTCCGCTCGGCGGGGGACGGCGAATCAGCGATCGCGTTACACGCTAGGCATGGTGTGTTTACCCGGTCGCCTGGAGGCACCTCCATTGCGACATCAGATAGGTATTAACATCATTACCAGACAGAAGGAAACATCTAGGTACGGACGTACTCGCGCGTCTCAATTCCACCTTTACCACCATGGGTGAGACCGAGAAACAGCCCGAACAACCCAAGGCTGTCCAGCAGAAGATGGTCATCGGTGAGTAAACGCGCTTGGCATTATTATCGCGCGCGGCGATTTTCCGCGCCGATAAACGCGACGAAAAAATTCGGCCGCGCGTTTCTCCGCCCGTAATGGCGTCCGCGCGCTCTCTCTCTCTCTCCCTCGGCGGCGGTCGCGTTCGAGAGGCGGCCATGTGGCCGGCGGCGGAAAGAAAAATCGCGTCGATGTTCCCCTTCGTCGAGTCTCTCCGGATTGGAGTCCGGTCGCGGGCGAACCGCGTCGACGAGGCGACGCCGAGACCAAACGTCGTCCATTTTTCCCATCAGCTGATGCTCGCTCGCGAATCTTCTCTCTCGTCCATTGATTTTCGCCGACATCGCGCGTCGCCCGTTCCTCGCCTCGTCGTATAACCTGGAAAAAATAAGGGAAAATATCGCGGGTGCCGAGAATCGACGACGACGAAATCTTCCACGGGAGCGGGATCCATCGGGGCGATATCGAACTTTTTCGCTTCCGGAGTGACCGCGCCGATCCGAGATATCCGGCGTCGCGCGCGCTCCCCACGTTTTCGTTACGTAAGCGCGTCGTAGCCGCGTGCTTTTTGTAGCCAGCGGATTACAATTGCGCCTTCAAACTCGCCGGATGTATCTCGTATTATTCACCGGTGAAATTATTTCGAAAGTGCGTACGGAGGATTCTAATTTATACGAGTGTAGAGAGAAATTTTGAAATTCGGGGAATATTTTATTGCCCTTTGTTTCTCGGAAGAAAAAAAAATCGTTGAAGGTTAAATTTTACCGAGAATATTCGAAAATTCAAATCTAAATCGAATGTAACCCCATTGGTTATTTGGAAAAAAAAATCGTATAAATTTATTCTACTCCTTTATAGAGAATTTATGTATAAAAAATGTGATATAAAAGTTTGAAAAATGTATCGCTAAAATTTATACTCGTATAAATTTTATCTTTTCCATCTAATTGAAATTTATATTTTTTAGAAGATAGACGCCAGTTTTTAAATTGATATATATCTTGTCATTTGTGTGTTTAATTAATTCTTCAAGCGTTTAATTAATTTCAGCGTTATATAAATCCTGTGTGAATATTATTTAGCGACGCGAATAAAATTGTTACGATTTTCAAGTCTGAGGAATTTCGCGGATAATCGCGTTGGATCTATCGTTGTGACACTGATTTCGACCTTTGTTTGGGTTATATGCTTCAAGGTCGTGTATAACTGTTATTAAGATAGTCTTATCATATTTTCGCCGACCAAGATCAAGTCATACATATTTTATATATTTTATATATATAAAATAAACTAGCGAATTTTTATAAATATATATATAATAAATTATATATAGAAAATTTATATTATATATATATATATATAAAATAATATAAAATATATATATCACTCTTAAACGAAATTTATTTTTGTCGCAAATTTACAAATTTCAAACAGTTTTTCTACTTTTAAGATCCAGAAACAAATTTACTTAAAAATTTACAAAAGATGTAGATTATAATTATAATACTAATCACACAAATCACTGTTCTTTTGAGAATTATTCATTTTGACACGATTGAGTATTTATTTAATTTCCTGCTATTTCTCATGCATTGTTTCTAGAAATATTAGTCATCACGTTATAAAAACAGTATATGGTGTCATTACATTTCGATTTCGAACAGTGATGTGTTCAAGTAAATATATGATAAGTTTGTTCCGTTAAACGCGTTATATTTCCCTCTTCAAGGTCGCTTTCACAGTTTAATAATAATAAGTACGTATGATATTCCTGACTCAACGTTTTTCTTTTTTGTGCTCTCTTTGAATATTTTGAATAATTTCTCTTATAATTAAATTTCTTTCTCATTTTTTATTTATATGTTTTATTTAATATGTTTTATTTAATATGTTATATTTAATATTAATACGACACACACAAAGTGTAATATAAATATTTTAAAATGTTTAACAAAAAAGGAAAAAGATATTATATAAATTAAAGCACATTGTATGAAATTTTTCGTTATCAATTTATATATCCTCTCATGCCTAGCACTTGAATCACAAAGCTTTCTTTTATTTCAGCAAACAAAGTGACCGGGACTGTGAAATGGTTCAACGTCAAGAGTGGCTACGGTTTCATCAATAGGTCAGTCATCGTATTATTTTATATTTATCTTACACGATCAATTTTTTTTGCTTTTTTTATTTTTGATTATACTTGCAACGCCCGTCATTTTACGCAACACTAAATAATAGAATAGAGAATACATATATTTATTTGTGTGGGTGTCCTGTGTAAGGATTAGTCATATACTATTTTAATTTGAACGCTCATTTTACGCTACTAACTGTTGGCATTGTATATTAACTGCTCCATCTTCCATGAATGCACACACACATACACACATATGTACACATATCTAATTATTTTTTTCGATATTGCAGTCTTTTATCCGTGAGAACTATGTCCATAATTGTATTTTTTTTTTTTTCCCACTTATATCACGCGTCTACCGAATAAATGTTGCGATTTCCGTCATACGTCAAATTATTCAGGAAATATATATTAACTGGCTGATACTTAAGCGGTTATTTCTTGGGAAAATATTAGCTCACGTGTTAAATCTAATAGTCGGCGAGCACGCTCGTTGCTTCTGTAACAGTATGAGTCGGGTCAATTGATAACTTGACGTGTATTTTTTTTTTTTTTTAGATATTTTGATGCAACATAAAAAGACATTAATTTAATAGATAGACTCATTTAACATTTATCAATTTATTAAAGCATCATTTCTTTAAATATATTTGCTTTCTTAATGAACAAGACATTCCATTATCATCAACAATTCATTCAACAATATCAAACACTCTGATCTTGTAATTTTCTTATTCCATTTGGAAATTAACGAACTCGTTAGCGTGTAGTATACGTGTGAGTTGATCCTCGATTGATCCGTTTTTATTATTTTATCGCGCTGCGAATGTAAAATTTAGAGAAACGCTTTCAAGACTAATTGATAACGATTTTAACGGACACGGGGGAAATAGCGGTCTCTAATATTAGGAAAATCGTCCCTCTCTCCCCGCTACAGGTTCGACCTGCAACCTCGACCTGGCACTCTGCCGTACGGAAAATAGACGCTTCATTCGGCACGTGCACGGTCCGTAGAGTCGGTTCCTCGCTATTTCGAGGTCCCTCTATTCATCTGGCCGAGGGCCAGAACATTTTCGCGCATGCTCGCGGAGGAGGAGTAGCTCCTGTTTTACCGCGTATTGTATACACGCGGAACTTTTGCGCGCAGACAATGAAGCTTTTCGCGGGCGTTTCGCGATGGGAAAATATTTTACGTCGGGACGATTCGTAGAAAGGGGATCCAGTGTCTACTTCCTGGAATAACATGGAAAACCTGGAATTTTCAGAGAATTTTTTTGTACCTGGAGAAATCGGAGAATTCTCATGGAATTTTATGGGGCTCGGGAAATTTTTTTAAAAACTCTCTCTTTGATAATTTTGTTCTTATATTATAGGTAATAAGCCAAGCTGTAAAGTACGTGTTTAAAATATATTATAAATATATATCCATCTCTGTTTATATATTCAATGTCTTAACGAAATATTGAATTTGCAGTACATTTTCTTTATTTTCATTTTTAGTAATAAAAAATGAAAATGTTGTACAAGTTAAAAATTTTTTTCTTAAAAGCTATCTAATTTTTTTCAGTACATTTGTAAATCTAACACTTAAAACTTAAGTGGCTTTGTGCGAAGTGTTTTTTCTTCGTATGAGTGAAAAATATTAGAAAACGCGTATAATAAAAGAAAAACTTATTTTAGGAAATTATACCAAAAAATGTTTAAAATATTCTCTTTAATTGGAATTTTGAACAAAAATACTTGGAAGATTAGAGGAATTTTTTTACAAGATTTGAGTAGACACTCCGAGATCTTTTTTACTTTAGATTAGGACTCCGACACATGAGGGGGCGAAAAACGGTTTCGCACGATCGTTTCCAGGTACGAAATTTTTTAGCTTACCTGCTTGAATTTGAGAACTCTCGAATGCACTTTCACCAACACTAACGCCAGTGGGTATTGTAAAATATTTGAGAGAAGGCCGTTACGATACAACTATTTATAAATATAGAACGCTTCCGTCGGACTATCCTAGTTTTTGTCACGTTTAGTTGAATTTTCAGTTGTCCGTCTCCTGAAAAAATATAAAAATACGAGTAGCTGAATATTTTTTTTAAAAATAATTCTTTATAATAAAGAAATGTATGATTCATAGTGAGAATTTAATTTATATAAATTTTGGTTTCAACTTTTTATATTTCATATGTGCCTTTCTTATTTATTCAAATTTATTTACGGGAACAAATTTTTTATTAAAATATTAAATTTATTAAAAATTAAAAAATTGAGATTTATTAAAATAGTTATATAAAAAATATAAAATTGTACTGATTACATAAAATTGCCTTGCGATGTTACGATGTAATATTAGAAATTTTAAAATATATAAAAAATTTTACGTTGAATGTCTAACAGTTGATATTAGAAGCGAACGTATTTCTTACTCGAAAATTATTCAGAGGCGTTTCCGCAGGACAAATTTGAAAAATAATAAGTGAAGTAAATAAAAAAAGAATCTCCGTATTTCTATAACTGTAACAGAGTTCATCGAAAGTTAATAGCCCGAGACAACGCGAATCCATTGTTCATTCGTCGTGTTCATCCCGATTTCGGTGGACTCGACTTACCACAATGGAAGAGCAACGTTCCGTCTCGATACCCGTTGGATCATGCTCATTCGGCATCGATACATGTTCCGAGACGTACATCAAAGTTCGATAATATAGATATTACTTGATATAGATATTATAAAAGATTAGGAAAGTGCGAACTTATTTACTATTATTTACGATAAATTAATATTAATCCAAAAAGTGTTTATTCCCTGGAAAAACATGGAAAATCTGAAATTCTCAGGGATTTTTTTTGTATCTGAAGAAATCAGGGAATTCTCATGGAATTTTATTGGGACTCAGGAAATTAAAAAAAAATTCTCTTTTTGATCATTTTGTTCTGATATTATTAGTAATAAGCCAAGTTGCAAATTACGTATTTAAAATATATTATAAATATATATCTATCTCTGTTTATATATTCAATGTCTTAACATAATATTAAATATGCAATACATATCCTTTATTTTAATTTTGAGAGATAAAAAATGAAAATGTCACGCGCAAGTTAAAAATTTTTATTTTAGCAAAAGCTATTCAGTTTTTTTTTTTTTTTTTTTTAGTACATACATTTATAATTCTAGCACTTGAAACTTAAATGGCTTTGTATTTTTTCTTTGTATGAATGAAGAACATTAGAAAACGCGCGAACAATAAGAAGACTTATTTTAGGAAATTGCATCAAAAGATCTTTAAAATATTTTCTTTATTTTTCTGTATTTCTCTTTTTCATACCTGTAATTTTGAACAAATATATCTGGAACATAAGGGAATTTTTTTACAAGATTTGAGCAGACACCCTGTAATTGTATATGTATAATAAGAAAATATAAGAAAAATTGATTTGGACACAAGAGTGTTGCTCAATTTTTGCCGATTGTAATCTACAAAAATACATCTTCCCGTAAAGATAAAAGTGTATGATGTTGCAATTTTTATTTAGAAATATTGATTTCCGTTATTTCGGTGATTTGAAAAAAAAAAACAAACTCTGAAAGCTTTATTTGTGATCTTCGCGTTCTCCATATGTACTTGATTCACCTTTTGTTAATCGCGTAACGGAGAGAGGGGAAAAGAGAGGGAGGTCTAGTTTGTAGCAGCTGGTATGCATTTGTGTACGGGCTTTTGTGTATTTCTCCCTTGATTGTGTGCGCGCAGTCAGGGGTTCGACGACCTTTCAACTCCATGCTTTGCTATGCAGCTTCATGGATTCCGATTACATCCGCACGCTCGCGAATTCATGCGTGGGACATACATATTCGCGACGCACACGCGGTGTATCGTGTACACGCGTGGAACTTTGTAGAGAATGCGAATGAACGTGTGTTTGCACTGATACAATTAAATCGAATTTCCATTATACGCCATGATACACACATAATAAACAGATGGACGTGGTTATTCTGCTTTTCAACGATTTAATAAAGCTTCCGTTTTTTTTTTTTTTTTTTTTTTTTTTTTTTTTTTGCGCGTAACCGCAAACACGGTTGGGAATTTAAATTTTAAATTGTTTGAAATATAATATTTCGATTTTTCCACTATTGCAAAATTAGTGAATTATGGAATTATAAGAAAAAAAATTAATTAATTTAGATTAAAAATATAATATAATATCGATTGTTTTTAATAGAATTGCTCGTTTCGATTGTTTCAGAAATGATACCAAGGAAGATGTATTCGTCCATCAGGTAAGCTTCTTCGCATTTAATATTAATTACGATACTTTATTCTCAAGATATCACCGATGTATCTCAATGTTACATACGTAATTGCAGTCGGCAATCGTTAAAAATAATCCGAGGAAAGCCGTACGTAGCGTCGGAGATGGCGAGGTCGTGGAGTTCGACGTCGTTATCGGTGAGAAGGGTCACGAAGCCGCAAATGTCACCGGTCCAGCGGGTGAAGCAGTGAAGGGCTCGCCCTATGCCGCGGACAAGCGTCGCGGATATCGCGGTATCCATTGGGTGTACCCGAGACGCGGCAACGGCCGACCTCAGAATCGTAGACCACGTGAAGGCCAGGAAGGTTACGATCAAGGTATATCGACGGATCATTTCTATCTACATTTTCGCTTGTTCTTCAAGAGAAAGTAACTATTGAGAGAAAGTAACTTGTTCTTTCGGATATAAATTAGGCGAGGGAAAGAGCGGTGATGATGCGAATCCGACCGAGGGCCAGGCACCGCAGCAACAGCGTCGCTATAGGTTGCGGCGTCATTATGACGGTTATTATCGCGGAGGACGGCGTTCTGGGCCCGCTCCCACACAGCAGGGAGAGAATGCTGGCGAAGGTGGTGAACAAGTGGAAGGAAACGGCGAGGGTAATGCCCCGCCGCGCGGTGGCGGTCGTGGACGCGGGGGTCCGTCACGACGTTACTTCCGCCGCAATTTCCGCGGGGGAAGAGGTGGCGGTCCGCCACGACGTCCTCGCAGCCAGGATGGCCAGGTGAGGGTTAGTATCCCTAACTTTCACAGTCATTCTAGCTTTCCCCGACATTATTACAACTGGTAACGCGAACAAAAGTATCGAATCACGCGCGTTTGTTTCATTTCAAAGTTATAAAATGTACATAGACATTCCAAAGTTGAAAAATGAAATGATATTTTGGTTTCGGAGAACGTTATATGTTTGAATTAGATTCTTTATAGCGATTCTTTATAACATTCTTTATTATGAAGGCGTTTCGAGATACGTGATCTCGAAATTGTAGATACATTCTCTGTATACTTCTTATCTGCAATCTGTTTAAATAGTTTCGGTATATGTTATTATTTCTATTACACTAAACACATTTCACTTGAAGATTCACTATATCCTTGGTTGCTTGCGCCTCAATGATATATATTGTCCCTTTATTATTTTTCTCCGACAGCGCAGTGCTGTGTATTACACGGTAATTAATGGACTTGTAAACGCGCATTTCAATTTTGCATTTTTGGTATAGATAATGAATAAAATTTTAAGTCTGAACTTAGTTGTTTAAATCTGCACGGTGTAGTGTCCTTCTTACCGTAAAAAAAGAAACTTGGTAATACTGTCTATACAAAGACATTGTGTTTGGTTTAGATGCACTCTTTCGTTCCTAGAAATTATGTTTATATACTTAGCAAGGATATATAGAGATTCTGTAATCTCCCTCCTCTTGTGTAATAGACGATGCATTATTCACGCACGGAGTATGTGTCCTGCGCTGTTTGTTAACGATTTCCATTTCACTTTGTGCACTTTGTACAAATAAAGTAGAGATATCTTAACCACCAACGAAATTTTCTGTAATCGTCAAAACCCTCGGATAGCTGTTATAAAGATTAGATACATATTGTAAAAAAAACATTAGGTGATTGACGACGACGAAGCTATTGGCGAGAATGTCGATAATTCGCGAAGAAATCCACGACCACGTTACAGACGACGATTAATACGACGACCTCGTGCGACTTCGAGCCAACAGACAAATCGAGTAGAGAACTTGCCATCCTCGGGCACAAATCGCAAGTCCCCCAATCCCACTTCCTTCTCCGTAACTTCCTTTCGATCACAAGTCATCGATACTCCTCCTGAATCTTATGATAAATCTATCAAGGTACTTTTGATTCTTCTCTTTCCTAACTCAAGACAATATAACTCGCGTAAATACATTTTAACTTCTTTACGGATTTTTTATGAAAAATTATAAATGACGATTTTACGAATAAACTTAATACATTTGCATACAATTTCACGAACTACAGTGAAGATACGTCTACATGTCTTCATTGTAAAAAATAAAACGCTTGCTTTACGAAAATCTGCATCATCAACATTATTTTAATTAATTTCATCTATATATTACATCTGTAAATATCCATTTCTGTATCAACTGATTGCTTGTTGACATTTATTTCTTTCCTTCTATGCATTCGACAAGATACTTTAAATACGAATCATAATCAAAAGTTCTACTATAAAACTTTGACATTTGCGCGAAATATTGAAACAATAAATTATAATATTCACGAGCTTTTATTTCCATTCGACATTTACGAAAGCTTTTAATTATGACTCCGAGCGCGCGAAATCTATCGACGAATACAGAGCGGTAGCGCTTAGCACACACTGTTTGCACGTGTCTTTTTGTACTCTTTTCAGTCGGAGCAGAAGTCGGATGCACCTAAAGATTCAGATGCACCTGCCGCGGCCCCTGCTCCACAGGTAACGGCGCTTTATATTCTCTTCTTTTCTCAATCTTGCAGGAGCTCGTCTCGGTTACCACAATTCTTACGCACTTACACTTTCAAGCATTAGAGGTGTGATCGACAAAGTAGACGTTGAGATTTATTTTTTTTTGCGCTGTTTCTGGATTTTCTTACTTTTGTTCTCGTTATCTCCTACAAAGAATTGCATTTTTCTTTCCTTACCTGCAGCATCGTAAAAAGAGATGTATGAAAGCAAATATATATATTTTAGCACGCGTTGCATAATTACTGCCATTATAATATATGTTGTTGTCGCATTTAATTAATGTTCGTCGTATGTATATATTTGCAGGAGAGCCAACCGGTGCAAAACACCACCACCGAGAGTACCGCTTAACCGAGAGAGAATAACGCGCTACTACCGTAAGAGGACACTCCTTTTAATATATAACACCAACACCCGTTATACACTCAACAACAACTCAAATAACAACAACAAGTATAAAACAATTGCAAAAAAAAATCCAAAAAAAGAAAAAATAAAAAAAAATTTAAGAAATCAACAAACACTACTCCACACTCTCGCAAATTACAATTAAGATATGTACGGGGAAAATGCGAAGAATGCGTTGATTAAGAAGTGTGCGGCGAAATCAAATTCACCCCATGAGCGAAGTAAAACTTTTGTTTTTTTGTACTTTCGAAATTTTCACGCACAGCATATATAATGTCGAAGAAACGATAGAGACGCGAAAGGGAAATTCTTCGCGGCTCTAAACGCTTCTTTTAACTAAATGATTTAATCAAGAGTAATTAAACCGCGTAATGATTACGTTATTGTACGACGGTTGATTAATCGAATAAAAATAAAGTGAGACTAAAGCAGCAGAGAGAAAAGGGTAAAGCAATTACGGAGTACGGAGCGATGAATTCGAGCGCGGGCAAGAGATATATATTGTATACGTATACTTTTGTTTTTTTGGTTTTTTTTTGTGCATTTCTTGTTTCGTATATTACTTCTGATTTTTCTCCGGTAAAACGCATTACAAATCGTTTCATGTGCGATATTTGAGTTTATTGCTATATTTCCGCGAGTTTTCTTCACTTTCGGCGACTTTTTCATGAAAGGAAAAAGAAAAATCGATTGATATTGAACGGAGTACCACTCGAATTTTTGTCTGTCTCGAAATCATTCGTTCATTTTCGGCTTTATATATCAAAATTGGGCGGACTACCGTATTGCTTTCGCTCTTTTGGGCGCAACTTTACCTTGCGTTGATCAATAAGCGTGTAGCGTAAATACAGTACAATTTTGAAGTACGCTCCTTAAATATGATGATGCGGTTGTGTCGAGTCTAAATTTTCTTATACTTTATAAGCGATTTGTTACACGTAGAAACGATTATTGTAATAGCATTTATCTTGGCTTAATTTTTTATAATTGTCAATACTGGCCCCTGGCGGGTCCCGCGGTGTACAATTAATTAGCGATTATTGTTGTTTTGACTTTACGCATTATTGATTAATCGCGAATTAGGACGCGAAAGTTTGTGAGATTTCCCGCCTACTCCGAGATGCATTCATATCTGATAATGCGAATAATATTTAGGATAGGGCCAATAAGGAGAATGATGATAAGACAGTATCTGCAGTGTGTCGTTGAGAGAAAAACAATTTTTGGTCGCACTTTGATGCTTGCAGCCTGGAAAAGATTCGCTTCATGATATCTCACAAACTTTCGCGTCCAGAGCGTGAGTAAATCGTCCGGTCGTTTCTAAAATTGACATCGGTCGACTATGCACCGGGCAAGTCGTTTTTTACTAAACCACTGAACGTTTGCCTATGCGGCAATCGACTCGATTTGACATTTCGAAACAAGAGCCGGGCGTATCACACACATCGGCTTGATTGACAATACGGATAACGTAGACTGTCATTAGAGTACGAAGGAGAGAGAGAGAATAAGAGAGAGAGAGAAAACATACTTTATATAATTTTGCATGAAAATAATTTTTAAAATTTTAGTTTGTAGTATCGTCGACGGATAATAAAAAAAATATATACGTCTACTTTCTGTAAAAAGAAAAAAAAAAACAAAATTATCTTTATATTTGGCGAAATTTTCTATTGAATTTGTATTTCTTTTCCATTTAAAGTCTATATCCAGGCGACACACATCCGCGAGATATCACGGAGATGTATAAGAAGAGACAGACATCTTTCAATCGTCTTCGTGTCGTTTGGATGTAGCTTACCGATATCATATGGTGTTATTGTTTCCGTCGTCTGTGCTCGTCGATCAAAAACTATCAGTGTTGCGCAAAATATATTCGCGATACAAATGATCTCGAATATGAATATATTATTGGCGAATGTATTAGCGTATATAGAATATATACACAGAATATATGTACATATTTTCGTACGAGAAATGTATTAACGTGCATTTTTTATACACGTCAATGCATTGAACGACAAATAGGTATTCAAAATTCTTGTTCGCGAATATATTTTGTCCAACACTTTCCACTGACACGCAGTAACCGTATCCTGCCTAGGCGCCAGCAGACTAATTCCGCCCAAGATATTATCCTATACATCACGATGATCGTTTTTAATTGTTTCACATTATCCTATCGTATCCCGTTTGTCAAGTAGCGCTTTGCCAGGCCGCAACCCAAGTGTGTCTTCGTAAAATTGCATAATATCTCTGTTTGTGTAGCAAAAAAATCGGAAAGATCGAAAGATTGAGTATTCGAGAAATATTGAAAGACATCCGATTTGGTTTAGGATAAGCGAAGCGGTTTAAGGGAGTTAATAAGACGAGAAGAGGAAATAGTGCGTGTGCGTGAGTGTGGTGCAAAGTGGAGAGAGATAAACGCGCGGTTACGTTACGCGGACGTGCTCGCGTTATTTACATTTTTACAACTGTAGGAAAAAAAAAATATATATATATATAAGCGAAGCAATCTTGATCGAGAATGTCGATCCCGCACCGATGGTCGCCGAAAATCTTTTCCATTTGATCCCATATAAGAGGGAACCCAGCGGACACGAGATATGTTATATCGATCGACACGTACGTGTCGTCCCTCGTGTTTTTTCGCTTTTCTATTAAACTGCAATCCGCGTCCGTTGGGACAAAATCGTGCGGCGACTCTTCGGGCCCGCGTTTTGTTTAACGTAATCACCCTCCGTTGTCTAACGTAACCGCGCGTTCCCACGAAAAAAAAAACACGGTAGAAAGAAATAAAAAGAAAAAAAAACTACAAAAGAATCCACACAAGAGAGACCGGCCTCTCGAGACACAGCGGAGAGAGAGGCGCGAAACAAGCAAAAACTTGAAGCGAGCGCGCCGAGCGGGCGCGCGATTGTAACTGCAAAAAAAGAACAATGCATGTGTTAACAGTGAATATCAGAGTTAAAGCGATAAAAGTCGTAAAGCCAAAAAAAAGAAAGAAACAGAATAACGACGAGAATTTCCAGCAATTAAACTTATACGCGGTAAAAAAAAAAGAACGGTACCTAAGATTGCAACCGAGAAAAAAAGATCTCTCGCACAGTTTGTGCTTCGTCGTTCGGATTATCGCTGTCGTCGAAACATTTTTTTCGACGCAGCAGTCGCCAGTCAATCGCGATCGCTCGTGAATAAACGTGTATACATCATATTCGTTACATGAGTTGAGAGAGACACGGCTTACGATCGGGGAAAAATTCGCGGGAGGAAAAGTAGCGGAATTTTTCACGAAACACAATCTCCATAAGCCGGTTCTTTGTATGTCAAATATCTTCTCCTCGATCATCGAGATTATTTGACATACGAAGCGTCCGATCGTATGTAGATTGCTCTTTCGAAAATTCACGGTCCTCCGAATATAATATTTGCGAATTAATGGCCCGGTATCGTGTCGCCAAATTTCGCGATTGTCATTGGCGTTTTTCGGTTCTCTCCTCTCGCCGAAGAAAAAAAGCTTAAAGGCCATTGCACATGAAAAAATTTTAGTCGTAACCATAAGGCCGTAAGCAAATCAACCAATCACAGTTAAACATTCTTATTACGTTATTGGAATGCTTGATTGTAATTGGTCGATTTGCTTATGGCTTTACGATTACGACTAAAATTTTATCACGTGCAATGGCCTTAACTTACCGCCTATCGGAAAAAGATAATGAAAAAAAAATTGATCCTCTCAGGAAGAATTTTCGGGAATGAAGGGGAAGATGGGTGACGCGTTCCTTTTCGCTCGAAATTTCCGTCGTGCATTCGCGTCGCGTGTCTACCGAAGAAAATAATCGCAATAAAAGAGGATATCACGTCGCGACAGTCAATTAGATCCGATTCGGGTTTCACGCGAGTAAAGGCGATACTCGAGATATATATATATATATATATATATGGCGATGTGGACGAAAAATAGAAAGGTAAAAAAACAGGGGAAAAAGAACCGAAATCCCGATCGAGGAGACGTTCAACTTTCGAGAGACAAAGAGAGAGAAAAAAAAAAGAAGAGAAAATCTATCAAAAGACCTCGACGAACACTGGGCGCGACGCCGTCGTCGTCGTCGTCCGAGCGTGTCCCCGAGTATAACAGTCGTCCGTCGACTGCCCTTCCTCTACACACAATGAATTTTGTACCGAAACATGAAGCTCTAAATGCTAATTTCATACACGGAATTTAATTTTTTCACGAGAAACATGTGCATTATAAAAAATAAATCTACCAAAAAAATTGCAAAAGTCAATGGAACAAAATATGAGTTTTGTTTTATCTCTCTTCCCTGTTTACTCCCATGTTTATCTTGTCTCCTATCGAGTATTATCATTGTACGAAATAAATTTACAAGAATAATTCAATATTGTAAAAATATTAACGAAGTATTTATAATTTTATTTAAAAATAATTATGGTTGATTGAGTTGAATGAAATGAAAATAATACGAGCCGGTAAAGAAGCGAAATTTTAAATTAAATTAATAGTCGAAATGCGTGTAAATATTTTGATGAAATTTTTTCAATTATCCGTATTAATTTATCTCAATATTTATCTAAATATTGTAAATTTGCTACCGAGTATGAATCACATATTTAATCTTTGTCATTTATCTTCCGTTTACGGGTAGGAATTTCTGAAGTAATGAAATTCGTGAATTCTCCTCTCGATGGACTTGTAAATACGTACATTTCGTACACGCATAATTTCACGCGACGAAGTTGATCGGAGCCGAGAGAGAGAAGTTATAGGTATAATGCATTCCTGTCATGGAGAATTTCCAACAATACTGGCATTACGGCGGCATTTAATCACCTTTCGCGAGGTATATAAATTAATTTTCCGTCCCCGGCGTTAATCTCTCGTGCAGCAACGATCAGCAGTAACCGTACCTGGCACCATAATTGACACAACGGATTCGTCTCTAATATTACGGATTCATCATTATGAATCATAAATTACACGGGTCGCGCATCGAGCGACTTTCGAATATAGTTTAACGATACGTTTAAATTTTTCATTTATCTGCAGCGAAATGCATTACCTGGAGAGATACGCCGCTTTTGATATTGGAACCTGTTTTTAAAATTGCAGAAACTTTTCGCGTTAAAGTTGCAGGATTTCCTCCCGGAAAATCTTTATATCGACATTCAAGATAGATGCATTGAAGAATGCTTAAGGATGTTTTGGCTGTACAATAGTAGCAAAAAACTATCAAAATTTAAAAAGAAATATATATTTTTTACGTTTATACTGTTTGAAAAATCAAATAAATAAATCCGGATTATAAAAAGAATTAAAGTATTCCCAGACAGCACAAGGATGTCCTTAGGACGTCCAAAGGGCATCCAGGACATACATGTAGGATATCCTGAGGATATCCTATTTTAATCCTCGGATCTCCTCTGGATGTCCTGAGGAAGAGTAAATGATAGCCGTACACTAGCCTCTGGAGAATCCAGGGTACAATATGTAATTTTTCATAAGAATCAATACTAACTTTAAACTTAAATAATTTCCAAATCGTTAAAAGAATTATGCTCAGGCTTTCCATAGATACTCAGAAGAAATAATAGAACAGTTCACGAAATTTTTAATGTTTTGGCATATGACACATATATCCTTAACGATGTTGGATAATTCAAATTTTATGCTAAATTTAAAAAAAATATATTTATCTCCTATAATTATTATAATTAACGTGCTACATACCCGAGTATTGTTATTTTTATAGGAAAAATATAATTCCTTTTAAAAGTAAATAAAAAATACATATTAATCTAATCGAATTATCGGTGGATAATCATTAAAAAAATAAAACGTTGATATATAGTTGCAGTAAAATTAAATATCAATAGCGTCTCGAATCATATATTTGAAGAAAGAATATACTCTCAATATAATATTTTATATTTATATGTGTGTGAATGCAAAAATAATTCCAAAATTGAAAATCGCTATTGCATTTAGCATATTTCGAATGCACTCTCGGAAATAGCATGACTTAACGTGTCGCTATAAGGTGGCCGCCACAATTGTCACGCGCATTTCTCTTCAGTCTCAAACGTTGAAAGAGGTTAACGGGTTGTGTCGGATTTGAAACCCATTAATCCGAATATATATTATACAATACGTGAGCACGCAACCACTAAATAAATCCGGCAGTTTGTATGCATTTTTGCCGCATGCTATGGTAAATATACTAATATATCACGCAAAAGTGTCGTCTATGTATCTCAAAGGGGGGGAAAAACCATTATTTTATTTCTTCCATCTCAAAGAGAAAAGCCATTATTTATTTTCACAATAAACTCGACGCGTTTTATTTAGTTCATTATATTTTTTTTTTTACACATATACACAATTGTTTAAATGGCGCGACGGGATATCTAAACGAACGTTACGATTAGCAGAATTCCATGCTTTTTGCGAAAGAGAATGTAGGAGAAAAACGTGTACGACTTATAAGAAACTCCCGACCGTATATGTTTTCACAGATAGAGATACGATACATCGTGCACACATACATATATATATATATATATATATATACACACACAGTGAAGGCAATCAAGAGAGATCTCGGATGAACCGATTGATTGCCTGCGCTCTGTGTGCAGGCGAAATTAAAAAAGTTGACTTCCAGATCGACGCCTCGGCCTCTAATTTCCCAATATCGATACCTAACTCGCCGCACAGTTGATTCGCGCTCGCAATATCATTTATCGCCATTTGTTTCTCGTGTATATCGATGTTAGCCGGGGATAAAAACGGCCAAAGATAGGACGATGTATGTATGTGCACGCGAGTATTAATATTAACGCGTGTAAATTATATGACATGTTATGGGCGCGACGTGACGTCGGTTGAGCGGCGAGCGAAATCTTTTTTATTCTATTCGCGGGGATTTTTCTTGCGTTACTTGGGATCAAGCTATTTTATAAAGACAATAAAGATAACGTTCCTCTCGTTACAAGTCTGATCCAAATGGTCGCAATCTGAAAAAAGACCGACCAAGAATCAAATATCATGTATGCAAATATGTGTATACCTGTCCTTGACTACTTAATTTGAAAAAGATAAAATATTGTTAAATTTTATTAATTTTTTGGTATTTTTAGTAAAGTATCATTATTTCAACTTTCTAAAGCCAATCAACAAAATTTGATTATTACTAGATCATTATATAAATTATTACTAAAAAGATTAATTTTTAATTAATTATTAATTGATTAAAGTAAACATCAGTATAAAACAATAACATAAAATAATAGAATAATGAATTTTTAATTAATTATTAGAAGAAAAATTAATTTTACTCCTTAAATTTTATAAATTTTCATCTTAAAAATAATTTAGAATAAACATATAAATTATTAATATATAAATTATTAAAAGAAAGATTAATTTTTAATTATTAATTAATTAAAATAAAAGATCCTTATGGCACCGACGTTTCGTCTCTTTGAGGCGCTCGCCTCGTCGGGACTTGCGGTTTTTAACGATCTCGACAAACATCTGTTTATTCTCTCTCTCTCTCTCTCTCTTTCGATTGCTTATTATTCTTGCTATGTGACATTCTCATGCTTTTATTCGTTATCGTATTAATATTTTGACGTTTCTTTATTTTTATTTTATTTATATTATATATATTTTATTTTATTTTTATTTGGGAAATACTTAATTTGGAAGACTCTTGCGTAGATAACGCGAAGGAGTTAATGCTGATCGTGTTAATTAAAAGCCGCAAAATATACACGGAGCGTTAAAGACGTCGCAAATTATTCTGCTTTATTCTCGATCGATATTACTTTGCTAATCTGTACTAAAGATACGCGTACAACTAGCTAGAAACTTGGAATAGATGGAGAAGGAGGTATCGATAAGATCTTTCATTTAATTAAATCAAATTACTCCGTTAACGTGTGAGCTTGATGTCGGAGAATTTAAACGGACTTACCTCAATCTGACGGAATCGTTCGTCAGATTCTCAAAGTGCGGCCAGTCCTCTTGGCAGGCTCTGCATGTGCATCGGAACCAGTACCTTCCCGCCAGTGTCCTTTGACGCTCGGCGAGCGTTCTCTTCGTGAATATCGGTCCGTAGTTTTCGGCAATAACGTCGCCGGGCCGTAAACCGCGAACTGCCCTTATTACGATGTGCCGGCCGACGAAGTATCTGCGATCCGGAAAAAAGAGGATATCCTGATAATCTCCCCTCTCGTTAATTAATGCACGTTAATATGGTAATATAAATTAACACTGCCGAGTCTTATCTTAGTAATTGTACATCAGCTAATTACAAACTAACTCGTTTTATGTAATTAATTTTTATACACACTGAAAAAAAATGTGCTAAATCCAAAAAAATCCTTTTTGATTTAAAAATATTATTTATTTAAATACTTGCAAAGAAGAATTAGTTATTTCGATCGAGCAGCAA